TAGGGAAGGGAAGAAGATTATATGTGCTTTTACAGATAAAATGGAGATACTCTGCCTTGGTTGGCTTGTTCTTAATTGGAACCCAAATGTCAACTTTGGTCACACCTTTCCAGTAACATCATTTTTGTTGTTGTTGTTAGTTGCGAAGTTATGTCTGACCCATTACAAACCCATGGACAACGTTCCTCCAGGCCTTCCTGTCCTCTACCATCCTCTGGAGTCAATTTAAGCTCACGCCTACTGCTTCAGTGACTCCATCCAGCCACCTTGTTCTCTGTCGTTCCCTTTTTCTTTTGCCCTCAAACTTTCCCAGCATTAGGCTCTTCTCCAGTGAGTCCTTCCTTCTCATTAGGTGGCCAAAGTATTTGAAGTAACATCATAGCATCACTGAAAGGCCTTTGGCAGCCCAGAAGATTGTGAGAGCATAATTCCTCTGTTTTAAAACACTGTTGTAAAGTTGGCTCCCCTAGAGGTAGGAAATAGGAGATTAAACATCAGAAAATTGCTTTTTATTCCAGGCTGCAAAGCCCTCCCTGGAGTTGAGATGAGGGGGGCAGAGTAGATTGCTTCCACTTAATTGTGTGGTTGAGGAAAAAATACAAAAGGATGCCTAATCACAAAAGAAGAATAGAGAGAGGTGGACTGTAACTATAGAATTAGCTTCTGGAAACATAAAGCACTGACGGAACTGAAGTTAATGAAGGATGCCAAGAAAAAGAAAATAACTTTTTCAGATATGTTCAAAATAAAAAGAAGCAACATACTAGTTGTCACTGAACATCATACAAGTGTAAAGGATAAGAAAGAAAACTCTATCTTAATTCAGTCTTCACTGAAAAGGGCATATACGGGATTACAGTTTCACTTTGGTAGATATTTAATCAGGATTAAGGTGAAAGTGAGGGTTAGGTTTAATCAGATAATGGATACTGACCTCAAATGAATTAATTCCTCCATGACCAGATGCCTTGCATACTAATGTTCTGAAGGCACTTGATAATCCTGGAGAACAGATGATTGAGGGAAGGCAAATGACTTGATGGCATGTAATCAATCGATCGATCAATCAATTAATCAATCAATCAGACTGATAGCATTTTAAAGCATCTTATAGGGCGGGGCTGTCAAACTCGCCACATCATGTTGCTGTCACATGATGTTTTATGATCTTTTTTCCCTTCGCAGAGCTGGGGTGGACGTGGCCTGCGCGTGACGCATCTGGTCCGTGGACTGCCAGTTTGACACCCCTTTTACAGCGTAATACAGATCTGTTTTCAACTGAAACACATCTACAATACAGAAAAATAACTTTAACTTTCAAGATAACAGATTACCTGAAGAAGAGAAAATAAAGGGTGAAGCAGATGATAGTGAATCCTCCTTCCCTGGAAATATTCCAGAAGATGGTGGACAGCAATTTGCCTGGGATTCTTTAATTTGTACTACAGCATTGAACAAAAAAAATGTACTCAATGAGCTACAATTATATTTATGGTTCTATGGATATTCCTACTATATTTACTTATTTATAAAGACACTATCTCAATAGGTGGGCAGAAAACAACAGCAAATAGAATGAAAATAATTACATGCTAAATACTAAAGCAATACAAAAAATCTTCCTATGAAAGACTTGCCAGGATGGAAATAAACGTCTATAATGCATATAAAGTGATTTAGTTGTTTAACTTTCTATAATTGTTAAAAAGGCTAGCCTATTTACATAAATGGCAGACTTTTTTCTCAGTGCTTTCTGGTCACTTCATTTTTCTAAGAAGCCCTGGAGAAGGGGGTTTGCAAGAAATCCATTGCTGCTATAAGCAAAGCAGCCTATGTAAAGGTTAAAAACAAGGTGAAAGAGAGCCTCTGGCTATTCCTTACATTATGGAAACTAACTACTAGCAAGTATAATTCTACTATGGATTTTTTTTTAATAGCAGAAGTGAAGGTTAACTCTGTTTGGTTCTGGGCTGATATTCCTCCCTCTACCGATTCTTAGGTGCAAAATTCAATTTACTCCCAATAACGTTGATTGGATTCTTTTCAATCCTTACTGCATAGATTAACAAGCTGTTAGGTGCGTACAATTTAGCATAAGCGAATAAATTTCAAACTCTGTGGAGGAGAAACACGCTTTAAAGTTTTGTAAGTTACAAAGCTGTGCAGTGCCGCTTTTCATATAGTTAAGCAAGCAGCTGAATTAATGAGGACTAAGAGAAATATTGATTTTTAATTAGGTCCAGGTGACCTTCAAGCCATAGTGAGTGAAGACAAATCTTGTACCACATGATATAAAACTATAAAACAGAACTAACCTGTTAATATTTTCCTAAAAACAAGATGAATGCAAGTCAAAGAGCTGTTTGTAATAAGGACCATGAACAATTAGTTGCACAGCAATTATCCTAAATGGAAGCTTTTTCAAGGTCTGCTTTCCATCTAAGTGATTGCATTTTTCATATTATTAACAGCAATGAGATTAACATTTACTTGAAAAGAGACTAAATCATCCTCCTGTGCCAAGGGATGGAAAGATTAAAAGATGACCTATGTCAAGACTATTAACACAGCTGCAATACATTTTTTTTTTAAAAAAAGAACTGAACTTTGAAATAATATTCACAGGCTCTTATAAGAGACTCCCATGTGCTCTTCTGAGGGATTTAAAGTGCTACTGGGAAAGGTTGATGAGATTGCTGTGGTTCAGGCTATAGCCAAAACAACTCGTGACAAACCAGTTTTTTCAAAGTTCAAAGTAATGAAAAATGTGTGCCTTTTGTAGAATGTGATTTCTGAAGTTCTATAAATAAATAATAAGCAACTTTCAGATAACTTGGAGTTCAGCTCTCAGCTCTACCAAACGGAACAAATGGCAAGAAATTGTGAAAATTGTAATTCAACGCATTTAGAAGGCACCATGTACAACAGTGAACATTTCTTCCTTCCAATATAGAATTGAAGAGTCTCTCCCATATCCCTAAGTTATCATGATAAATTTTCAGATTTCCATTTTGTCTAACTAGCATAAAGGTCTTAACATGCATCTATTATAGAGCTATCAAGATCTTCAGTGATGAATGCTTAGATATTAAAATATGAATTCATAGTGCGCATCATTGTTATGGAAAACAAATAAAGTGGCAAGGTTATCATCTTAGTCTAAAATCTGATCTGTTTATCACATCGCACTAACCATTATTTCTTTTGATCTTGGTTAATGAAATATCCAAAGGTGTCCTGATTTATCCAGGTTGTTAATTTATAAAATATGGTTTACACCAGTGGTGGGATTCAGCCAGTTCGCACCACTTCGGGAGAACCAGTTGTTAACTTTACGAGCAGTCTGGTAAACTGGTTGTTGGAAGAAATCATTAGGGCAGAGAACCGGTTGTTAAATTACTTGAATCCCACCACTGGTTTACACATAATGGTCAGATTCACATATTGCAATAAGCCATCTTGCTCCCTATTTATTAAGCCAAGAACAGCATACTCTTTGCTAAAGAGAGAAATTCCCTGAAGATGGGCTCTAGCGTGAGTCCGAAAGCCCAGAAGACAAAAACTCTGGTCCTGGTGACTGACCCAGTCTGGATTCTGCAAATGTCAGGGTTCCAAGAAACACCCCCAACGAAAGAAGACTCTGAGGTTTGATGTTCTTCAAAGTTCCATTTTATTAGAGATGTCATATTGGCACATCTGGGAAAACCTGAATCTGAAAGCTTCCTGAACAGGCTTCCAGGCCTGACAGCAACATTATCCTGGAACACATATATTCACCTTCATTTGCATTCTTTTATATACACAACAGATGTATCATTCTCTCACCTCAAGATGGTGCTGTCTCTCTCTTCATTTCTCACATTTAATGAATTTCTTATAGTTAATCAATAAAATATTAATTCAAGATGAGGATATAGAAAAGCGAAATATGGTTTGCCACATATTTTAATAAAGTTCCTAAGCTTAGAGTATTATTTTCTCACAAATCATTTAATGGCTATTTTCAGCACAGGAAAGAAACATTAGTTATATTACTTACTGTATAACAGTATTCACTTTGTACAAAAAGCCAGACCATTAAAAAATCTCTACTAATGTTGCCCTTATTTATTAAAGCTGACTAAATGCATCACTTGTTCTGCAGAGGCTATTTGGAGTATTTTATTAAGAAATGTGTAATGAATCCGAATCTTTGATGAAGTTTGACCAAAAAAAAAGGCCTTGATATAGAAAAATCAGGAAGACAATTTATCTGATAGTGAGAACACATTGGGAAATTTATAATTACGCATAGTTAAGAAGGATCCTTAGTGACTCTGCTACTCATTTTGATACAGGAAATGCATCCAGTTACTGCACAGACTATAATGTACATTATGCTCACATTTGTGCAATTAATGACAAATATAGATTGTCATTTATTTAAAAAAATCCACCCTTTGTGCTTTTTCAGTCCCAGTGGCTACTTTTGCCAAACTCACTTCTAAATCTGGATTAAAGATATAAATACATCATATATGTCCATGTATCTATGTTTGTAGATGTGTTTGTGTGAATAAGAGAACATGTAAAGCTAAAGATCTTTATTTTCTCTTGTTTTTCTTCAATCCTTTTGATAAAAGAGTTTCTCCTGATTTATAATCAGTGATGGGTAAAGTTGAAGAATTGTATAGATCAATTCTGTGTCTTACTCGCTCTTTATTTGCACCATTGAATATATACCTTATTGTTTTTCTGTTTATGTATGCAATTAGAAAGAGATGGCTCTAGATCAGTGGTTCTCAACTTATGGTCAGCAGATCACTGGGGGGCCATAATGTCATCACAGGAGGGCCCACAAAGGTTTGAACTAATGATTTAACTCTTGAATTAAATCTTGGTGGTCTGTGGCCACAAAAGAGTTCCGTGGTGAAGAAAAGGTTGAGAATCACTGCTCTAGAGCAACCTTAAAGAACTTGCTATCCTAAGATTACTGAACCACTATTCCCACCATTACTCACCACTGCTGACCATGATGATTAGGATGCTTCGAGATGTAGTTCAGGTTCTTCTGTTAATGTATGATATGAATGGCCTATTCTTGAGACAGCTCCATATCCCCCAATGACCATGGTTGGAAATGAGGGTTTCTCCAAGAAAAGAATTTCCTTTCAGATCCCTAGGCAATGCAGCACTGCACCTTCACCCAGTGTAATGATTCATATCTGTTCTCCTAATCACATGTAACCCATGCAACTAGATTAGCTTAGCTTTGAGCTCTGTGTAGAGTAATGTGCAGTTATCTACCATCTTTTTAAAATTGGTATAAAGTTAAAAAGAATAGCACAAAGGCAGTTACAAAGAATCCATAAAACAAGTCATTCCCAGACCCAAATAATAGCTTTGACCATTTAATAACTTTTCATATGTCTACTCATAAATTAAACCCCACTGATTCTATTCAGCTTCCTTAAATGAATAAGTAAACACAAGATCTATCTAAAAGCCCCACATTTCTTAGGTCAGAGGTGACCTTCCTGAGGTTCTTGTTGACATACAAACTAGAATTTATGGGACTTGGAGTGTAATGACATTTGAAAGACCACCTGTTTCTTATCTCTTAGCTAAGTTCTTGTTTAACTAACCTCACGTAACCTCCTAAACTATAATACAAACTGTTTGATTTTAACTTAGGGTGCTATGTGAAGGCAACAAATTATGCTCTTCAAAAGTTCATAGTGAAACAAACCCAAATCTACCTGTAAAACATTTCTGGCATTCTTCTTTGCACTGAGATAAACTAAAGCCAAGTTTTTCAAACTATATTCCAGTTTCTAAGGATTCTGTAAGTGAGAGACTAAGGAAAAAATGTTGACTCAGGCACAAAGAATTTTCTATCACTAGAGCTTTGCCTCTTAATCAGCGATTCTGGGAATTTTTTTTTTCATGGTGAAAAAAAACCCTGATTTAAAGATCCTGATTTATCAATAGTCAGTGATTTCTCCCCACTAATTACACTGAGTGATTTCTCAGCCCATCCATTTGCTTTTTGTTCCCCTCCCCCCTTTTATTTTTATATGCACAGGATTTGTGCCTTCCTCTATGAGGGAGGTATGGGTTGTGGTTTTAATTGCAAATATTCACATATTTTTCTTACATTAAAAATACAATGTAAAACCCCAAATGTTTCAGCTGCTGCTAAAGCAAAGTATTAAAGCTACTTCCCATTTTCAAACAATGGCTGTAACATAAAGATCAGTAATGCTTAGAAGAAGGAGGTCATGGCAAACCAATAAGTCATTCTTGCCAAGAAACTACACAGATCCTGGAAATCAAGCTCCACTAGATCCACTAGATCCTGGAAATCAAGCTCAAGGGAGGTTTTGCTATTTTATATACATACCGTACATAGAATTTTAAACACAACAGCTTAAAGCAAAAAGAACTTCAATTGATTTGCTCCAGATAGTCCTTTGATTGAATGATTAAGTGTCATCAAGTTGTTGTTGTCTGTTAGTGATCAAAAATAGATTTCTCCAGGATGATCTGTCCTCAACATGGTTTTTCAGGTCTTCCAATGGTGCACTGATTGCTACTGTAATTGAGTCTTTCTATCTTGCTGCTGGTTGTCCTCCTTCCATTTTGCATAAGGTATCCATTATGATAATTTGAACCTGGTCATTTGTGCCTCCAGGGAACAAGCACTCTGGCTTCATTTGTTTCATGCAGCACTTAAAAGTCGTTACTAAACCTCAGTATACTACAAGCTCAAAAAGGAAGAAAAAATCAATCAAAACTGTAGGCGAAAGAAAAAGAAACAATTACACATTGCATCCTGAAGTCATGAATGTAAGGCCACAATATTAGAGATGAAAAAATCTAGAAAGCCACTAGATGGCAACAAACAGTAATTGTCTGGGTCTGTTTGATGCCACCTAATGGTTGTCTGGGTTTCTGCACCTCTGATCTAGGTAGTAGTTCTAGTTAAATAAAAATATATATATGAAAGATTGATAACTACTGTAGCTTCAGATGACTTTTCTCTACAAACAAAGACATGACAAATATTTCAATCCTCTTTACAGAATTTACTGCCACTTTCTTGCAGTAACATTCCATTTCTAGTCTACAGCAGACAAAGTTCCTGATTAATTCCCTGATAACTATCAAAATCCTACAGTCAGTTAGGATTAGTATATAAAGTGCCTGCAATTCTTCTGCCTAGATGAATATTTGCCACATTCTCCTTGGCAGAAAAAAGTATGACTTCTTATCTTGGAGTTAATTACAAACTCAGGTGAAGCAGTATGAATTGCTTTTTAATTCTTGCTGATGGTTGACAGAAATACAGATGGTTCTGTATTTATAAAAATGCCAAGAATTCTATCCTGCCAAAACTCTACCTATTAAATTGGCACCAGTTGCCTTTTTGTGAAAAGATTGTTCATATACACATGTCACAATAGCATGAGTTAGGGTTAGGGTTTTCTCCTTTATGCACGATCCACATATATAGAAGTCATTATGCAATTATATGTATTTCATCATACCTGAACTGACTAACCTCATTCATTTTGTTCATTTTTCTTTATTGACACAATGTAAGACAACATACATATAAATGGAGGTAGTTATAGTTTCTTCACCATTTTCTTTTTCAGTTAATAAGACTTTATATAACAAGCTTCAAAAATGGTTTGATGCGGGATAAGATTTTAGTAGAATTCTTTGCATTCTCCCCCCATATTGTAAGTATTGGCAGTGCTGAATTCAGCTGATATTATTGTTTTGTTTAATTTTCTCTGTTGTCAAATGATTAAGCACTTCTTATAGAAAAGCAAGTAACAGAATCATAGAAAGGAATCATTTAGGCCAGTTTTTCTTAAGTTTTACAACTTTAAGAAGTGTGGACTTCAACTCCCAGAATTCCACAGCACGTTGCTTTAGGCCGGGGGTGTCAAACTGGCGGACCATGGGCCGGATGCATCAAATTCAGGCCATGGCCACCCCAGCTCTACAAAAAAATAACAATATATCAGCAACATGACAGCAATGTGGTACCGCGAGTTTGACACCGTGCTTTAGGCTATCATTAGTCAATGATCTCTGTGGAGAATTCTCTGTTCTCACAACATTCAGTCTGTAAATTAAAAGATGAATTAAGTCTATTTAAAAACAAAGCAAGATAAATGGGAAATGAGTTGTCTGGAGATCTGAGGCCGGCATCTACCAACAATTACATTACAGTATATTTCAGCATTGAAATTGTAGGGCAAGAATTAATTCTGAACTATAAACCAGAGCCCTGAAATCTTGCTGCTCATATCACTTATCAGAACAAGCAAGTGCCAAGAACTTTTAATATACAGTGAGTCAGCTAGAACTGTTCTTTGAAGGTTTTGAATTACTGTGACCTCCACTTTTGCTGAATACATTACTATGCTGAACAGCTGCAAAATTGGATAACAAAGATGATTGATTGAAATAAGACATTCCTTTATTTATTTTATATTAATGCCAAAAATTATGGTATGTGCTAACAAGTCATTTACAATTCCTGGTGACCCCTTAAAATAAATAAATATGGTTGGTATATAGTTTATTTTTATTTATTTATTAATTAAATCATTTATATAGCTGCCTAATTTCTTTCAAACTCTAGGTGGCTCCCAACCAAGATTATGGTATGGGCACAATAATAATCTGTTGTATGGAAGTCCACAATGAACAACTACTCATTCAGTGACTGTTTGAACTTATGACAATGCTGAATTAAGAGAATTTATGACAAAATCCCAAAGTTGTGCCTGTCAGTGTCTCTGTCTCTGTGGTCACATGATTGAGATTTGGGCACTTGGCAACCAGCTTGCATTTACAACATTACAACATTTCAGCATTCTGCAGTCACATGATGACCATTTGTGACCTTAACTGCTGGCCTTCGACAAGCAAAATCAATGAGGAAGCCAACAGGAGATCACAAGTGGCGATCTCATGACCATGCAACACAATGACTGCAAGGGATTCATCTAACTGCAGCATCTTGGACTGCCACAACTGCCATTGTAAGTTGCCATAGTAATGTGTCATTGCATTCTATGAACATATCAGTTATTGATGGAGATCCTGGCCCATTGGCAAGTAGGAAATCTATAAATGCAGCTTACATTTATCACATGATTGCTTTAAAATTTATTAGTTACTAATATGCATTGCCCCCAAATGAATTAGGACAGCTGAATAATTTCAGACTATAGGATAGTCAATGAAGGGAATTGCTAATACTTTGAAAGGTTGACTCAAGAATCAGAAGGATCTTGACAGACTTGATTGTTGGGCCCTATCCAACAAAATGCAATTCACTGCCAAATACACAGGTATAGTAGGCAGTAGCTGGCTCAACACTAGTAAATGTGAGAGGGGTCTAGGTGTCCATCTAAGTATGAGGCAGCAGTGTGCTGCAGCTGCCAAAAAAAGTCAATGCAATTTTAGGCTGCATCAACAAAAGGTAGCATCTAGAACACGAGACATGATAATACCTCCTGTCGGTGGTTTGTTCTCTTAGCTGGTTTCCTAGCTAAAGAGAAGCTAAACCGCAAGCTCAGAGAATAAACCATTGTAAGCATCTATCACTCTAGCTACAATTTTTTTCTATCATTTCAAATGATAATACCTCTCTATGCTGCACTAGTGAGGCCACACTTGGAATACTGTGTCCAGTTCTGGTCATGATGATACAAAAAAGATATCCTAGATAGAGTACAAAAAAGAGCAACAAAGATGATAAGGGGTCTGGAGGCTAAAACCATAAGATGAACGATTGAGGGAACTAGGTATATCTAGACTAGAGAGAAGAACTAGGGCTCATATGACAGCAGTCTTACAGTACTTGAGAGACTCTTAGAGAGAAGAATGGGTCAATCTGTTCTTCAAAACACCTGGCGACAGGATAAGAGGTAATGGGTAGAAAATCATTAAAGAGAAATGCAATCTAGAACTAAGAAGAAATTTACTGATAATGCAAACAATTAATCAATGGAATGGCTTACCTCTGGAAATAGAGGGTGCTCCATCATTGGAGGTTTTCAAGAAGAGAATGAACAGCCATTTGTCTGGAATGATATAAGGCAGGGATGTCAAACTTGTGTCATCATGTGACATATTGGGAACTTTTTTTCCCTTCACTAAATGGGTGGGGAAGGGGGCAGCATGTGCAACATCTGGCCCTCGGGCTGTGAGTTTGACACCCCTGATATCAGGGTCTCCTGCTTGAGCAGAAGGTAGAAGAACTCCAAGATCACTTCCAAGTAATAGGAAGGAATGCAAAGTTGGTTTGGTTTTAAAATAGATATGCCGTTATCTATCATAACCCTTAATATAATTGATTA